CACTGAACCAGGGCTTTTGGACTCATAATTACTCTTGAGTCTATCCTAATACCTAGTCAAAAACGGGATTTCCACATAGTCCCAATTTTGACTAATTATTAGGATAGTTGAAAAATACCATGACCTAATACCTAGTCAAATTACTCATACTCATGGTTTCCCAATTTTTCCCAATTTTTCTCCGTTGAATCCCCCTTGTTTTTTGGACAAAAACCATGTCTGGGAAAAGCTAAGCTAACCTCTCGCCAGCTGGGATGCTTCCAGCGTTTGCCCGTGCAGTGCCCTGGCGGCGATGTGGTGAGCTTCATGTGCCCAAAATTGGTAAACCAAGCCACTACCATTTGCGTATAAAAAAAAAATATATATACATACACATACATATTTATGTATTTACTGTATGTATTTATATAGCTATATAATATGTATATATATATAGTTATATATAATATGTATATATAATTTGTATATATAAATTGTATATACACAATGTGCATATATAATAATATATGTATGTAACTGTATGTATATTGATATATATATATATAATATGTTAATATAATATGTTAATATAATATAATTTGATATATAATATAATATAATATTTAATATAATATAATATAATATATAATATAATATAATATAATATATAATATAATATATAATATAATATATAATATAATATATAATATAATATATTATATAATATAATATATAATATAATATATTATAATATATAATATATAATATATAATATATAATATATAATATATAATATATAATATATAATATATAATATATAATATATAATATATAATATATAATATAATATAGTACAATATAATATATAATATATAATATATAATATAATATATAATATATAATATATAATATATAATATATAATATATAATATATAATATATAATATAATATAATATAATCTAATATAATCTAATATAATATAAATATAATTAATGTTATATATATATATATCAAAGAACACTACTACCAGCAGTTTTCACACCATTGGACTGTCGGCTCAAAACTTGGTGTCAGGTACCTCGAGCCGAAACATGCGGCAATGCTGGACCGCCCAGAGCGTTGCAGATGGTCAGCACCTAAATGATGTGCAACGGTCTGGGATGTTCTTGTTGGGAACTCTCGGAAATTCATAGAAGAAACATGAAGAAACCATGGTTTCCCAATCAAATCTAGCAAATATAATGATTTGAGCGTCAACTCTGGAGGAAATTATGAATCGTCGCATCAAATGTAGGGCTTGAACCCTCATTTTCCTCGCAGAAAACAATCCAATGAATTGCATGAGCTTTGTATGACATGGTGAAGACCGAGATGATCATGCGTAAGCTTTGTGTATGCAAGATATGACAATGGAAACTCATCATTTGGTGCACTTCATCTATATACAACTGAGAGGTTTTAGATAGCTAAGCTTGTTTGCTGAAGGGATCATATACGGTATATCACCAAAAGGATGGGACAGGTACAGCAAGGAAAATCATCCTGCCTTCCTCGGTGCTGGTCAAGTGCTCCAGAGTGCTGGCGTTCAAGACACTGGTGGCCTCTGTAGTTCACATGATCATTTCATTGCTGATGATTTTTTGGAAGTGAATAACCCCTCCATTCATATGGCATATATGGTATGTTTAGGTTTTGCTCCATGTTTGTGGGCAAGATTGGGAATGTGTGACAACACAGCCATGTTTCTGTCCGCGCAGCCATCAAGGGTTTGACCCATAGCCATATGCACCATGGGTTTAGGGATCAAACTCAAGAACATAGGCACCACAGATTTTCGTTGGTTTTAAGACTTCAAGCATGCCATACCCATCTTTGACCAGTAGGCCTATGTGCGTTTTTCCTCACAGCTACACTGATCCCAGAAAATAGAAAGGACAAATCCTACTTGTAATTTGAATCGGAACAGATCGCTTGAGCCAGCTAACGACTATCTTTTTCCGGACACCTCTACTTCTTGATGGCGTATAGAAGACTCTATTCTGATTGTTTTCTAGAACCCAATGGCCATATTATATAATATCTGATTGGTGGTTTGGAACATTTTTATTTTTCCATATATAGGGAATAATCATCCCAACTGACTTTCATATTTTTCAGAGGGGTTGGTATACCACCAACCAGATATACATGTAACAACCACCTTATTGGCTAAATCTTTATTTCGGATTGATGTCAAAAATAGCTGAGGCTTTTGGAAGTGGATGGTGGGAAAATCTATAGGAAAACCCGATGATTTTGGGGTAAAAACATCATGGGTTTGCTGAAGATTTCCCCAACAAAACCACTCCATTGATATGGGATATATATATATATATATGATATATTAATCTTCATATAATAACATTGATATAGGAAATTTGCCTTGATTTCCCATGGATATAGTGGATCTTTTGGATTTCTTATTGCAATCTGACTTCCCGATCTTGTCTACTTGACACACTCTTGGACGCTTAGTGTTGCGGCATGTGACGAGCGCAGCGTTGCGCAATGCCGGATGGGCTGAAGCCTTTTGTTGACCACTATGCCTGGTACTTAGGTGCTGGAAAAGTGGTCAAACTCATTGGGATATCACCAGCAATATTACCTGGAAGTGGTGCGCAAAGTGGTTTCCAGCAATATCTGGTAATCAAACGTGGCAATGGACAAATCAAGTAATTACTTGTAAATTATTTCCCCATTTTAACCATGTAGACCTTCATTTATAGGGGATTTTCCAGCCACGTTTGACTACCAGAGAGTGACTGATGATGATCAGTCTGAGTCATCCGGCTTCAACTTGACCGTTTCCAAAAGTCGATTGTCATTCGAAAACGAATGGATATGAGGGACATCCGCAATTCATGCCAATGTGATTCTAGAAAATATCATCACCCATTGTATCCTATTGAAAATCAGAATCAGCAGAATCAAGCCACTCCGGCTGGATATGGTTGCATCTTCTGGATATGTTTCACCCATCATTGGCAATCGATCAGGCGGTGTTGGAGTGCTCTCCTAGCGACACACCGGAACAGCTGAAGAAGGTGGAACAAATGGGTGATGGGAATGAGCAAAAACAGAGCATGGGATGGTGAACAAAAAAAAACACCAACATTTGTGGGGGTTTTAAGCCGGAACTAGTCATGATGGCTCCCAAATGGTAGTTGGGGATGGCAATTTGTTGCGTCAAGTTGAGTCTACGCAACGTGTGAAAGAGAAGCATTCATAGAACTCGAAGCAAACCAAGGCTTGGCAGGAAGGGATGAGTCAATGAATGCAATGATGAGCCTCCAAGCAAGGTCGCCATCAGGAGATTTGTCCGAAAATATGGACCGGGCATAGGGTTTGTAAACAAGTTGAGTACCGAAAATCCATACACCTGCCTGACATGACCCCTCATTCTTCTTCATTTTGGCAGGTTCAGGACCCATATTTCAGGGGTGTAGGAAAACAGTTCTGGAGGTTAAAATGCACATGGGCCGACTCAAATGATTCTGAGCCAGACTTTGTGCATGAATCCACATCCACTAACAATCTTGGGTTATATATATATACATATATAATCATATATAATCATATATATATATATATTTAAAATACATGGCAATGGAGGATTATAGACTTTATATGTCTTTATGATACTTTCTACATCTTTATGCTTTCCTGATGGCATACGGCGCCAGGCATATCATGAGAAGCTACGACAGCAAGGTCCTTAAGGATCGACTGCGACGATCGAAGTTCGACCCCCGTTTACTTACCCGGTAATGAAACATGGCTGGATGAAATCCTCCATTATAGATTTAATAGATGATGTTCCCAGCTCTAAACCTCCATTATCCTCCATTTTTATTAATAGGCTCAAGTGATGGTGTCGCAATGATCGAAGCTGTGGTGTTTTGGCGAGGTTTCACCCAGATAAAAGGCCCTGGAGCGCCGGGGATTACGGGCAGCAGGCGCGGCCAAGGAACCAGGCTCTGGTTTCAAGATGGCAATGCAAAAGCCGCATGTTGGATGAAAAATAAAAAATGAAGATTGGACATGATTGGGAGCGACATTTCATGACATTTTCACAGATTAAAGTTTGATATAGTTTGATTGTTGGAGTCTATCAGACAGTGAGTATTGGATCAAATGTCCACATTTGGTTGTTTGATTTTAAAGTTCTTTCTTTTTTCCGGATATTTAGAGTGTAGAAGAAAACAACTGGAGCTCAGGTCACTCAGTCGCTGAACGAGGTGAGCGGGAATGGGGCATCAGAGTCAGATCCAGTAGCTAACATTGAATGATCATGTGATAATCGTGCATAACAATCAATATCATAGCCCATTTATATCCAGTTATTCATATATATATATATGTGATGTTAATAATGGGTTATATAATATTATATATAGGTTATAAACATATGAGTATATTATACATATATATATATATATCATATATAATATATATACCCATTGTTGTCCTAGATATGAAGCCACGAATCCTAATGGATGCAGTTGGAAGGCCTGGGAGGCCCTGCGCTTTCCAGCGCTTCGGGAGGTGCAAGACCTGCCGCTGGATGACGTTTCCGAAGAAAAGCGATGAAAGTGAAGATATCAGAAGACATCAGAAAATATAATTAATATAATATAATATAATATAATATGATATAATATGATATAATATAATATAATATGATATAATATGATATAATATGATATAATATGATATAATATGATATAATATGATATTATATGATATAATATGATATAATATGATATAATATGATATAATATGATATTTTATGATATTGTATGTATGTATGTATGTATGTGTATATATATATATTGTGGATATATATATATATACACATGATTATTATACAGATCCTTTTTGTTGAGGGGTTCAACAAAAATAACAGAGAACATCGCCTAGAACACTCAAGCTTGAGGCGGGACTCACGTTTCGATCTGGGTGAAATTTGACACCAAATGTCATGCTGCGGAAGGCCTATGATGTCATCTGGCATCGAGAGAAGTCGCTTTGCCCAGAAACCTGGTACACGCCAAATTGCCCATGGTTCACATGGGGAAACGGGAAACATATGTTTTATAAATGTTAAGAAACATCCTGTGCAAGTCGACTTGCATGTCGACGACTGCACAGGTCGAAGACAGTGATCCAATACACATCTGAAGCCTGATTGAGACTGACCAGTTGTCAGCTCACCAACAGCACAATCCCTTAATGGCAGCCTGGACAATCCCTTAATCACTGATTTTCCCACCAAGATAGTGGATTTTCCCATTAAAAATGGTGATTTTCCATAGTTTTTTGATGTTTTTTGTATGTTTACCAGAGGGTACACCCATTTTTTAAGAGGATGTTCCAGCCATATCCAGCCATGAACACCAGACATTTCTGGGTCCATCTGGGTCCCTTCGGTCCCTAGGACGCCTGCCCCAGCGCCGGCGCCGCCACAACCGCCACCTCCGCCGGATCGGGAAGTGCGAGAGCCACAGCCGCGCGGACGGTCGAGGAGGTTTGCGAAGCTCAGGGGGATGGTAGTGTCAATGGGCATGTGAATATGCTATATTTATATTCATAATTATATATTTACAATGTATATATATATATACATAATGGGAATATCATAATGGGAATATGATGGGAATATAGTGAACGGGAGTTAATATATTAAACTGGGCAAATTAGAGCGACCTCACTGCGACCTCACTGGAATGATGCTTAGTATAGGGACTTATCCCAAAATCACCTTAGTTCAGGTCAGTGAATTACTTTCATGTACCCTAGTAACCAATCGTTAGTTACAAATTCGAATATTGGCTAAAACTGAGTCATATGAATAGAGTGCAACTCAAGAGAATCTAAAAGGAATATATCAGAGGAATATTGTGGGACAACAATGCTATGCGGGATATAAAAATGGGAATCTGAATAGTAACTAAGCATAGAACCAACTATGGAATAGCAAACATTATCCAATCCCCAGCAACAAGAATGGGAATCTATTTCACATATAATGGGAATATAGTAGGAATATACCAGCCATCATGGAGAAAACATTGGATATATATATATATATGCATGTATATTGCTTTTTTTGGACTTAATGGGCATTCATGAAACATGCAACGTGGGAGATTTTACAATCATAGGGAACATCACCAAAAAGCCTTATAGGGAAAATGTTGATCAACCACGAAATGTGTTTTTTCCACTTATTTTTCCAACAAACGAATAAGCACATGATAATGATGCTATTCCCTTGGAGATCTCCCAGCTGCGCAAACGCAATCTTGTTGGTGGAAAGCCATTCGAAATCCCATGACATCTCACCATAGAAGGTGGATTTCATATCTTATTCATAATTATATCTCACTTGTAACATTATATCCCATTAAATCTCCCCATAAATGGTTTGTGTAGTTTATAACATCTTTTCATATGCAGTTTAGTTCCATCCCCATTTCCGGGCACTTAGTTGTTTAAAATCCATAGTTGAATTGTTCCATTCCATTAGAATAAAACAAGAGTATTAATTATCATCAAGCATGTTGTCCCTACATCATCCTATATCCCATAACATACCACGATAGATCATTATATCGCACAACAGTGTGTTCAATGCTAATCCCCCCTAGGTATCGACGTATTATATCCAATGATCAATCTACATATCCCATAGGAAGGATATAGCATGTCAATATCCCCATATATATATATTATATTATGTCGTTGGTTGTATATGCCACCACTGTATATTATTCCACTATATCTTGACATATCTATATCATCATCATATGAATCATAACCAAGTTATGATGTATAGATACCCATGTATATCCCATTAGCCATAGTTGATTAATTGTATTCCATTAGAAACAACACACTAGTATTACATATCCACATAGCATATTCCATAACATCTACTTATGTAGTTATCTATATACATATGAGCAGCGTTCTAAAGTCCCCCTTACTTATTTAGTATTGTGCTGGAAATAATTCATCTGAAATGTGCATTTTTCCTTGGTTTCGCTAGGTTTCGTTAGGTTTCCGTAAGGTTTGCCGTAAGCGGTCTTCAAGACTCATTTTGCCGTAAGCGAAACGTAAGACGAATTCATGTTATGTCACGACAGCTGGGCTCGGCTCGAGTGACAATGCAATGAAGGGAAATGTTGATTTATAATGGGAAACATCCATGGTATCAACAAGAAAATAACTATAATGGGGGTCTATTGAGATTTACATATACGTACAGTCGCATGAACCCTCGGAGCAACTGAAGTCAAATGGATTGGTTTGGGAAGACATCTATTTTCCAGCTCTTTGATGTTTCAAGTTCCAGGGCCTAGGTTGCCTTAGATGGCCACTTGTGTAAGTATCCCATGTACCATAGACATATTGAAAGCCGTTGACCGTCAGCGAATCGTAAGCACAAGTCTTGTTAAAGCTCTCGCGTAAGCAAAACCTTGGAAAACAAAAGAGTTGCGCAAGCTTTGCCGTAGGCCAGGAGTATCGGTTTACCGAAATGAAAGACTGACCATGGCTCATATATATATATAGATTTATCTATCCATATACCTATCCCCATCATATATTGTTGGTTATATCCCATTATATCCCATTATATCCCATTAATCGAGTTATCATAACCCAACCCGAGTAGATTCATTGATTTAATTTACGATATGATATATTAATATGTATACATACGTATATATGTTCCATTAACCATAGTTATAGTTGATTAGTGATATCCAATTATATAATACATACGTACATACATACATACATACATACATACATATATATATATGTATCCAAGTCACCATTGCGAAAAAAACAAATAATAATTAAAAAAAACAACTGTATCCAATATTAACCCATGATATCCCATTATACATACATACATTATCACTAACCCGTTTGGCTACCTCAGCCGCAGGCGTCATGACGAACATGATGCGCCAGCTGAAGCGTCGGATACTGAGGCGATGCAACGAAAGGCGGGGATGGGGTGTCTTCCAAGTGATGGCCATGAAACTCTAGGGTGACTCTGAAAACATGTGGAAACAAATGAGAAAAAACTGGGAAAACTGTTGAAGAATATGTCTATATAAAAGGTGGAAAAGTATGGTGAACTGTTTTCAACCATGCTTTTGCCAAGTTGAATGAGATTTCAACCAAACTCACAGCAAGAAATCATAGATTCCAGGTGGTATTCTTGCCTTTTTCCGGACCGTGCATTCAGCAATTTTGCAGGACATCAAGGGTGCAGCCCAGGGAGTCTAGATGACAAAGTGGAGAGCTTCACTAGTTGACATAGAATACATATAAGTTCCTATATATATATGTATTATATTATATATACATATGTATATATATATATTTATAATTATATATATACATACATATTCCGAATTCTGTATTATATCCCTCCAGTTGACGTCCATAGAATATATGGCTTTGTCAGGTTGAGGACCACCAAATTTGATGAGTCAGAAAACCATGTTCGCATCAAAAATAGCACTGTCATATACCCTCTGGTAAACTAACAGTTTGCTATTGAACATGGCCATTTATAGTGAGTTTTCCTAGTAAAAAAAATGATTTTCCATAGGTATGTTAGTTTACCAGAGGGTATATTTTTGGGGTTAAATCCTCAATGTGCAGACACCCAGTAGTCAAATGATCATCGCAGGCAGATGAGTTGAAAGGCGAAGGCAATCAGCTCTACCGAAACGTGTCGGCACCCAACCTGATTGTTGGAACATGTGGAAGCTGGTTTGAATCCATGGATGTCCCACCTTTCTTATAGCCCGGAATCATTGAATAATGTTGAAGATGTTTCTGGTCAAAAATTGATCGTGACTTATGACTTTGAGATACTTTGAGGATGTTGGGGTAGTGAGTTCAAGAGTATTTCAAAGGGTTTCGATTCACTTTTCATGGCATGTAGCAGCCATGTGGATTGGACTCATGACATCCACGGCTTGATGATCACTGGTATGTTTCCCAAAATTGGATGATGGGAATACAGGAAACCTCAGTGAGGTAAACCCAATAAAACATCCGGAATTGGGGTGGTTGATTATTGACTTTACCACTACTTGGGCAAGAAAACGTGATGTTCCTGTGATTCGTTCCAAGTAAACCAGCCACCATTGATGCCCCCAATTGCAAGGCCCAAGCAGCAATGGCAACCGTGCGCTCTTCCGAAGCAGTCGGGTGCTTTGGGTGTGTGAAGTTGTTGGTATAAGTGTATCCAAATATCAGGGATATATTCTATATCAATATATATATATACATACATACATATACATATACTACAGATACAGATACATATACATATATATATATATGTGTGTGCTGATGTACCTTTCTTTCATTGATTTTCCACAAACAGATGGCGGAATTGTAGCTCAACTTCACAGCTGAGGCCGACAGCCTTGAGGTTCGAATGACCGCGATGCAACAGACCGGGACCCCGGGAAAGCCCAGTGGAAGCTGATTAGAATCCCATCGAAGTGTGCTCCAGTTGAGGTATCGACTTGCCATCCGCAAATACAGCGATGCGATTCAGTGTTGAGCTTAGAACATCCAATCCTTCAGCAGCTGTGAACTTCTTGTGCGGTAACCATCACCATTATGATGTTGATGTTGATGATTATTGCCATTGTTGTTATCATTGTTATCTATTTAAAAAGAGAACTTGTTATGGATTGATTCGGTTATGTTCTTTATTCTATCGTGTTCTATGGTGTTTTCTGTACATTTCAACTTTCGCATTGTCTTCTCTGATGTTTCTGTTGTGGGATGAGAATCGTGGAGCTAAGATGTCCCGTGCTGGTTCCATCCCGTTTCTTGCTGATTAAATCATCTTAAATCTCCATCCTCAGATCTTCCACTCCCTATCGGTTTTAAGTGGGACATGTTCAGGAAAACCCCATACTTGGTATATCTTGGTATTAAAAGCCCTGGTTTCCTGATGCTTCTTGTAGGTTTTCCTTGAAATCTCGTCATATCAATGCCGAAACCAGCCATTGAACCTCGAGGCTGACGCCCCAGAACCATCGACTTTGGAGCAATCGCGCCCTATGCCATGCAGCCTTGAAACAATGGGACCAGTGTCGAGAGGCGCCCATGGGACTTTGGGGATATCCTCTCACATGTTGATGTTCTTTGAAAATGATGGGAAAACCACCCAAAATGCCATGGTGAAAATGCTTCCATGTTTGGAAATGACCCAACATGGCCCTGAAATCAGCCGCGGATGGCTCACAGGACAGGAAGGAGTGAAGATTTGCAACTTTAGATGATTCAAGATACCATCCGGTGTTCATCAAACATGGTTTGCTGGAAAATCTACTGTTTATAGATGTTGTTCCCAGCTATAAACCTCCACAAAAAAATCAGGGATTTTCTATTGCCATCTGTGATTACCCCAGGATAACTCAAGCATTTTATGACACGAGATCTTGGTATAAATTTCCATGATATGTACACATCGCAGGGTCCCCTAGACAGCTGGACCCAGCTGCAGTGGAACAGAGGGTCCAGCAGCAAAGCTCTTTCCTTCTCATTGAGCTTTGCAGCAGCTGATGTTTGTTCGGCTCTTTGGCAGAGATGGAAGTCACTTTAGGAAAGGCAAAAGCAGATGGAGGATGATGATAGATGATAAAAACATATAAAAACAAAGTCTGAATCCTGTTGCATTGTTTTGTTGGACCAGTCTTGGATCTATGGGATCTTTAGGATCTATGGTATCTATGGAAGCTGAAGTCTGGACCAAGCCCAGACCAAGCATTGCATGTGTTTCTTTGCTATTCATCTCAACTTGCATCAGTTGAGTGCCGGTTCCTGCCTTCGCTACTCAACATATGTTTGTTCGCCTCAACTGCGGTGATTTTTCTGACGACTTTCCAAGGTTTTGAGGCCTCCCATGGACGACTTTCAGGCCAAATCTGCGATGTCGGAAGTGCAGCAGTGCTGTTGTGGAATAGATGGGTAAAAACTGAAAAAACACAGGATTTTCCGCCATGATTTGACCAACAGGACCTGTCTCCATAGTGACATAGTGAAACTTTCACTGAAAGCTTCCATTTCCATGTGTTGATTCAAACCAATGTTTTTTTTGGGACGAGAACACTGATATCCCTCATATGTGGGGCATTGAATGAGGTGAAAAAAAACGAATAGTCAAAATCCATGAAACTCCTCTGAATCTTGAAGTTTGACCCGCGATCATGACGACATATCCCCGATATTCCCCGATCACCATCCCAACTGATATTGAGAATCTTGATATATGGTGATACATCTCAATACTATTACTTCACCTCCAGTGATTTCAATGTTACAACTCTCCACTAAGCAATATTTTCTAACCAACTCTCCACTAAGCCTATCACATTGTTTCTCAATACATCTTCAAATCAGTTCAAATCAATGTTTTCCCCGTCATTCCCCAAGTCCACCGAGGATTCAATGCTCCACTTTTTCCTCATTCGTCCTGTCGTGGCCAGGAGCGGCTTCGTTTTGCCTGGCAGCTGGCCAAGGGCCCTTGGTGGAGCTTTTGAAGGGATTTAAAGCATTAAAACCATGGAGATCATAATGGTGATATGATGGAGAATATTGGGATTGTAATGGGGATAGAATGTGGGATATAATGAAGATCATCAACTTCACATGGGGATGTAATATGATGTAACGAGAGTGATGACCATAACTTAGTATTGAAACCTATGGTGACGACCATTACCCAAAAAGAACCCCCTAATTTCATGGCCATCTCCATTCACAGGTGGATTTTGTCTGAAAAAAGGTCATATAAACCGCTCAAATGGCCAGGAAATTCATGGAATTTCAATAGCGAAAAGATGGGATCTTCTTGAACTGGAGGATCCCAAAGTCACCATAGGTTTCAATACTAAAATGGTATAACATGGTCCAATGACTTGACCTGGATGATTTGGGGGAGCCCTATTTCAGGAGACCTGCAAAATGTGAATGGATTTGGGGGAATCATGCCCACAGCTGGCCGTATGATAGCAGCTATTTTCAGGTTAGTAAATTATTCGAATTCAGAATTAATGAACTTGAAAGTATTTGGTTGGTGGTTTGGAACATGTGTTATGACTTTCCATATATTGGGAATGTCATCATCCCAACTGACTTTCATATGTTTCAGAGGGGGTAGGTCAACCACCAACCAGGTATGATTGGTAGTAATGATGGTTCACGATGGTTGATTAATTATTGATGGCTGATCATTAATTGTTGATGGTCAATGATGGTCAATATACCATTCAACACGACATATGACAAAGTAGCCTCAAGATGCGGCACCCAAATCATATGTGGTGGCAGTGTGTGTCTATGGTCGCCCTGTTTTTTTCTACGACGGCTCTGACAAAACGTCTACCCCTTTTCGATGCCATCCCTTTTGGAGCAACGAATCTGACGCTTTCCCACAGAAACTGGGACATTCCAAACATTCCAAAATCTTTGACTAGTAACAACTTGGAATGTTTAGGTTACTCTTAAGCCGTTAAACCTAAAAAAAACATGAAAGTTTCCTTCCCGCTACCTCTAGAAACAACTTGGTGGAGAACCCCGCTTTGGATTGTGATTTTTTCCCCATTTCAGGATGGCAGACCCAGAAGTGACCCAAGTGACCCATGAGTTTCTCATGGCCACCAAGCCCCAAAAATTACATCCATTTTCCATTTGGTAAATACACGGTTTTTAACTGGAAAACTATTTGTTTGGTAATAGAGCTTATCACTTATCAATATCAACCATTATCCCCATGAATACTCTAATTATATCTACCATAAACCATAGGTTTTTCCGCCACTTTTCTTCGGCAACTGAACGCGAACCGCCGGATAGGCGTGGTGCCCGGAGCGCAGTTGGCGAAATTTGCGCTGAAGAACCGCGGCCGTGGCATCGTGGGGCGCTATATGGAACCACCTGCGTATCGTGTAGCGGAGAGCAGACTGGGATTGGGTGTTGTACATGTCCATTACTCTAGTATATGTCAGAAAGTAAGAATACTTACATATATTATGTTATATCATTTGATATCATTTCATATCATATATATATATGTCTATATATATATACATGTATATACATGTATGTTGTATTATTTTTTATTATATTACATTACATTCTAGGATTTGTTTTTTTTTATTATTTCACAGTACATTATATTACCTTATATTTTATTGAATATTGCAATATATTTACGGAATAATATGTGTTGTTATTTTGAATATTGAATATTGAATGATATCATATGATATCATATGATATTATGTTGATTTTTGTAAATGTCACTATTGTTGTATGTATCTATTTATATAGTTATATGTATCGATATATTGTTTGTATACTGTAATGATTACTGGAATGGGTTATAAATAAATATAAATATATATATATATATGTGTCTTGAACGGAGGTGGGTTGCGCACCCGCAATTCAGACTTTGATCTTCCAGCCCTAAAAAATTACATGGATGTTGAAACATGGGGTGGTTTCGATGGTCAACTTACAGCAGATTTTCAACATGATTAATATATATCTATGTATACATATATGTATATATATATATATATTATACATATGTGTTTACTTAATGTATATATATATGATATATCTATATACTATATATATATATGTATGTGTATATATATGCGTATCATGCAACTGTACTGGATCATTTGGACCCTGTTCAATTATCTACTGTGTCTCTCAGATACGTGATCATAAAACAACAGATGGTCTCTTGGAAGATGACGACGACAACAACAACCACAACAACAATTAGTCAGGGACCAGTTGTGCTTTGAACACCATTGTGTGGAAATAGTTGGAAATATGTCATGGAATTGACACCAACATTTTGTTTGCAACATGTACATAATAAGATAATATATATATATATACAAGAATAATGATATATATATATATATATACCTAGGGAGTTGAAGATGCACCTTGGATTTTCAATGTGAGAATAGATTCGGAGTCTCTGTTGCGATGTTTTTCTTGCTCACTGTTCCCGAGTTGTTTTTGACATTTTCGCTCCGAAAAGTGTCACCTGTTTATCCTTATCAATCACCTCTTAACTTTCCTTTCTGATATGTTCTTCATTTTGATTCCTCAAACCTCACCACTTGAGGTGTGTAGTGGTCTACTGCCCAAGCGAGTTTGATGGTGGTGCGGGCGCCGAAGAATGTTTGCCTTTGTGCCTCTCGGCCAAGCGGCGTTGGAATGGGGGATGGGCCTGGGATGGGTCCGTGGAAAATGCCAGAAATCTGTTGAATCTTGGAGGGTCAGTATCCACTTTGATTTTGACCCATTGCCAAGTTAAGTACATGAAACAGTTATTCCTAAAGACCTTCAAAGGAAACTCCCCAAGACCTGAGGTCTTGAAGTCTTACCCCTTGGCATTGCGGTCTTTGCCATCGACTTAACTCCCACCAAGCAGAGTCTCTGTCGCCTGGAAGACGTAGAATGTGCCGTGGCCGCGTTGCGCGATGGTAGCCTCCCAGGTTTGGCCAACACATCGCACTGCCTGGTGGCCCTCTGGGGCCGCTCCACTGGCGCGGTGGCAGCCCTGCAATACGCCGCCCAGGATCCCTCCGTGGCTGCCCTGGTGATGGATTCCGCCTACAGTGATTTGACCAACTTGGCTCCGATGGCACCCCTCTTTTCGCCGGTCTCCAACTTTTGTCAGCTGCTCGGAAATACCAGTTTTGTCCAACCTCTGGAAGTGGCCAAGTCTTGTTTTGTCCCTGGCTTCATTTTACATGCTGCCGAAGATCGGATGGTTCCCAGTGACTGCGCCAGAGACTTGCGCAGCAACTATGCTGGCGAGGCTCAAGTGCTGCTGATGCCCAAGTGTTCCCATGACTCGCATCGACCTGGCTGGGCCCTGGCACGTGCCAGCCTGTTTCTGGCCAGGGCTTTCAAGTTGGAAAACTCGGCCGTGGCGAAGCTGGATTTGTACCTCACTAAGGTGGTGAGCTCTGAGGAGAACCTGGACAAACAGCTGGAAAGACAGGCTGAAGATTTATTGAAATCCAATGAACCTCAGCTGAGGCTTCACGGATTGTTGCTGAAAGCTGCAAATGCTTGTGGTCACAGAGTTGGGTTCCATCGGAGCCTGGCGAAAGGTCAGAAAAGTCGTGGCCGAAATGGAGTTCTCGGTGTTCACTATGCCGTTCTCATTCAGCTTCCACGCTTTGAACACGAAGTTTGCATTGCCTGGGCTTCGGAATCAACGGAGTGCAGAGGCATGGTTCATTTCCTGACCATCTCCTGTACATCTTTGAGTATCTCTAGGGCGGTGATAAGACGGGACGAGAATCTTCATCGAGTTGCAGTTCAGGATTTGATGGTGAAGGAGAGGATTTTGTGCCGTCGAGCCATTGGGGTCCAAAAATGATCAAAAATGGGTACAGGCCCCGAAAATGTGGCTATGTTGACAAGGGAAAATGGTGTGATAAGCCAATGATTTCTGTGAGTATTACCATATGTTCAGGCAAATCCACTTTGGCCTAAGGGGGCCTAACGCTCATCCCATCCTTCATAGGGATTCACCTTCTGCTTAGCCCTGCATCAAGGCTTTGAACCTCCTACTTCTAGACACCATGACGCATGTATTGTTGACTTTTGTCCCTGGATCATTTGAAATTCGACAGGTTTCTGATCCGCAATACGTGCTTCCCTTCAGTGCCCAGGATTTGAAATTGCTTCCCAGAGAGAAAGCACACTGCCTAATGTTGACCCTCAGCGATTTTGGTCGCATCGACGTGAAGATTGGCAACGCTCAAGCCTTGCAATTCCCTGGCACCAAGGACGAACAAATCCAGGGAAAGGATGGTGGAAAAGCATTGAACAGCATGAAATCACCAGTATTATATATATATATATAATTATATATAAATATATATATATATATACATATTAAGTATGAGATTAAACCTATGGTTCTTTGGGGAACGACCTCCGTGGTTTCACATCAAGGCTATATATTTTGATGTTAGGGTGCCTTGTTCTGCAGTTTGAGGACTGCGGTGCATTGGAAAGCGCAGCACTTTGGACGGCTGCAATGGGCGATTCCCGACTGCCCCAAGTTAAGGTCCGATTTGGCTGGGGTGGGCAGGAGATGAAGTCGGTTTTCTGGGATGGGGATGGGTTTGTTGCAATTTTTGCTGTGAAAAACCCATGGGATTTTGAGCGTGGATTTGATGATCGATTTCAAAGACCCGGTTCACTCGTCCCCGGCCGAGTTCTTGGGAAGCTGGAAAAACCCTATGATTTTTCCATTCAACCATCATTCTTAACCATCATTAACCATCATTAACCATCATTAACCATCAGTAACCATCATTAACCATCATTAACCATCATTAACCATCATTCCATATACCCCAACTCCATCTTGGGATATCCGCCAGGATGAGTTGCTTCCTGCCAAGCTTATACCAGGCCCTGGAGATCTCCCGGGAAATGTGCGGCACTGTGCGCACTGTGCTTATCGCCAAGTTAGGGCCCTTTTACCGGGATTTTGGGCTACTCAGGTTCCAACGAAAATGTTTCAATGCTACAGGCGTTTGCCATGAGCAGGGGAAACTGATGATGATCCAAATGTGTTTCTGAGGGTTTCAGCATGGGTTAAATAGATTTAAATAGAGTTTATCGTGCATCTATCTACTGTTGCATGGCTTCCTAAATAAGCTTATCACAAAGGGGACATTGGATCAGTCGTAGACGTAGACCAGGATTCCTATATATCAATCTATATCAATCTATAAATATATATATATATAAGTAGTTTATCATAATCATCAATGTATTGATTTAGAATATTATATTTATATATATGAAAATCATAATCATCAATTAATCATCAATATAGTTATCAATTATCAATTCATCATCACTACAGTTATCAATTATCAACTAATCATCAATATAGTTCATCTTAATCATCGATCATTATCATCATAACCATCATAATCATCAATCATCATAAGCATCATAATCATTCATCTATAAGTACTTCATCCAATATATATATATATGTATACATATTACTGTAACCATTATTCCGTAGTTAATCCACATATGAATCTAGATCCTCAGTGTCCTTAACGTCGCGTCGCTTGCGTCAGTTGCTGATCCCTGTGGTGATCCCATCGTCGCCCCGAAAGCCCACGCGAAAGCCCAAGCCTTGGAGGAAGTCCAACGGGGGGCGACCAGAAGAAAACAGATAGTATATAGATACTAGATATTATATAGATAGATATCATACTAGATACTAGATAGATACTAGGTTTACTAGGTATTATTATATTATTATATAGATACTAGATATTGTATAGATATCAGGAGGATGCCAGATACTATGATATTAGGATTATATGATATCAGGATGATACTAGATATTCTATCACAAGGATTGCCTCCACCAGTTGGAGAGACTTCTCTTTGTTTTAGGCCTCTTTTTAGATATGATCGAACAAATATGACACATATGTAATGCGGTTAAAACAATGCCAGAAACCATCCCCCCAGTCATCACCATTTTTATAGGTGGTATGGTTACCATTCCCAGTCATGGGTAGTTTATGGCATTGTTTTACCCAAATTAGCATTAATCACTAAATTAATCACCATCATTAACCATATTATTACCAATTCTTAATCATTCTTAAACCATCATTAACCAGCGAAATATATGTATTACCATCTGATTATTTAACATAGCCATAGAAAGATCCACCATTTTTAATAGGTAGACCCAGGTAAACCATCTATTTCTATGGGCCATCTATACCATGGCTATGTTAAACAACCAGAGGGTAAAAGAACCATGACGATTGGATCAGTTGTTCTCCAACTTTTTGGCGATCCAGGAGGCCAGCCTTTTTTCCCTTGACAGCCTTCCAGCGTCCGCAGCGGAGCTTGCCATGCAAATGTGACCCGGCAGAACCCCCCAAAAAAAGGTATGACCCGTCAAAAATGGTTGGTTACTGGGTAGTTAATGATAATTAGCTATCAATAACCAGCTTCGCTGCAACCTCTTGAATCTCTTGAATTTTTCAATGTCATCAACAGGGAGTCAAATTGTTGATGTGAATTTTATTTTTTCTTTGCATGTTTTTCCCGCTAATATCCAGTGTTGGGAGCAACCGTGGATATGTAGTTCTCCGGTGGGAATTTGGACACCAACCGGCAGATTTTGGGGATGTGTTCAGTGGTAAAATGTGGTAAATTATCCCGTGGTTGGGCATCCAACCATTTGACCCGCACCCAAATGGAGTCCTAAGATACTTACCCTCTGGTAAACCAACATAACTAAGGAAAATCATCATTTTTAATGGGAAAATGAACTATAAATTACAAGAGAATATCATACTTCGCTTTCAAAGTCGAGGACAACATGTTGGAAAACCGCAAAGGCCATATGCTTGGCCTCTTTGGATGCCAGTAATGCCAATAATTCTTGATGATTTTCTGTCTCAACCATCGTCGAGTGATAACGTGATGACTGATTCGTGGAATCTATTTCAATGCATGATACACATCGATATACAGATATTGATATACATGATGAACACTGGTGTGTGATTTATTAAACATCTACAATATGGTTTGATGTACACAGTTACCTTCCTCTCAGTATAACTTGATATGTGATTTGGACTGAGGGATAGGAGCTCAAGTTGTGTCTCAACCTATATGTTTCTCATAAATAGGGTGCCCCAAAATCCATCGGTTTATCATGGTTTATCGGCTTTCCCAACCACTGCTCACTTCCAGGCAGCAAAAAGCGCCGAATCCTGTTGTTACTTTGCAAGACAAGGACCTGTGAACTGCCCATGTTGGAACATGTTAACGTGCCTCATAAAGCTGTATATTCCGTGGCTTCGCTGACGGCAGCGAATGTAGCTACGACAGAAGGAGATTTTGGCCAGCGTTGATTGTATTTTTGCACAAACTGTTGCTGTTTGCAAGGAAGATACATCAATGGTGAAAAAGAAGCGATATTCAAGCAACTTGGCACTGCTTTGAAGATTCTTCTTACTTGGTGCACGGCGCTTCCGCAATATAAAGAATGTATATTACGATTCAGAAGGCACATGGGAGTCACTCCAAACACGTTATATATAATTTATACACAATGTATATATATGCATTGTACATCTTTATACCCAGTCATGACTTCGCAAACCGGATGATAGTAGCCTGGGGTCTGATGCTTCTTCGGGGTAGTAGTTCGCAACTGGGCCCTCTGGGGTTCCAACGGACCAAAAACCGACCCCTAAGGACCTTTGCGGATTTGCTGGAAGGGACATGCAACGGAGAAAACCAAAAACCTATCACTCCTTTTTTGGTGATTCCCATGGTGTATTTTGCCCTGCATAATCTATATGGATTGGTCTGAAATTATGTCGGAATCCATGGTGCAATCCCAAAATCTTCATGTTGATCATCATTGTCACTTACAAAAATTGGAATTTTCTGGGTATATCTGTGCATTGGTTTGTTTGGGAGAATCTACAGGAAAACCATGAAATTAGTTTCGCAAAAGCCAGGCCTTCTTGTAGCTTTCGCAACAAATCCAATCACCTGTGAGGAATTTAAGGCTCCCATGACTCAGGTGAAATGTCGAATGTGGCGCCCTCGGAGTTGACAGCAGGCCAGGTTTCTGAATTTGGAGATGGAACAAGAAACCAATTATTATGTATTTGATCAACCTATTGTGGATGGATAATGCTTGTAACTTGTACCTATTTGGGGATGGATAGTTGAACTATATCAAACTGATTTGGGATTGATAATTGGGGGATGAGCATCAGCTATTTTGGTGTGAACAGAAGGGTACGAGGGTTTTGGTCCATACCCATTTCGGAACTTGAATGAGTAGCATGGGAGCAATTGGCTTTGGAGGATACAAAACATCCCTTATACCCTCTGGTAAACTTTCACATAACTATGGAATATCACCATTTTTTATGGGTAAATCATGGTAAATCCCCTATTTCTATGGCATTAAATGGCCATTTTCAATAGCAAACTGTTAAATTACCGGAGGGTGTTTACCATCCATTTGGGGTACCCCCAGCTTCAGGAATCCGGCATCCAGGCACCTTTTTGTCGAAGGCAAACGATAGCCTGGCGCTGTCCCTGCCCACGGTCAGTGATGAGGAGATTGTGCCACTGGAATGTACGCCATTGGAGTTTTGTTTATATTGTTATACGGTATGGTTCATATATATATATATATAATATGTATGGTTAGATATTGACATTGCAACTATGGTGGTGCTATCTATAGATTGAGGGTATGGTTCCTGGTGGTTTATGAAGGTTTGATCACAAATTCTGTTCAGGACCTTGGTGTTGGTTGGTGGTCACGTTGCCTTTTCCTCTTGGATCATCTATAGGAAACCCAGAAACTCCCATACATCATACGGTCTATGACAAAATGTAGTTTCCTCTAGTTGTCCTCCCTTAAACCACGCCAGTGACTGTTCGGGCAAAGAAAACTTTCCAGTTTTTTACTACCAGCGAGACAACAATCGATCTTTAGGCCATGTAAACCTTTGCACATGAAATCGTTGAGCTGTTCAATTGCAGTGGTATCATTTTAGTCAGAAACGATCACCTTTGGGGTAATTACTACCTTGCGGTAAACCAACATTGCTAGGGAACATCACCATGTTTAACAGGTAAATCATCTAAAAATATCTAAAAATGAGGATTTTCAATAGCTATGTTGGTTTACTGGATGGTAACCACCCGAAACAACCAGGGTTTATGAATGCAATACTGCCAGAAATTTCTCACCCTCGGACCTGGTTGGTAACGCATGATGTTTCCATGTCCATCAGTGAATGAATGGTTGGCTTGCTGGAAGTTTGAGTGTGACAAATCCATACAAATCCGATTTCTGAAACCCAATGCAACTGAGTATGGAATATATGGAATGTTTCTCCCAGCTTCCCTGAGTCACCGCCCTCACCGTCCTCACCTTCCTCACGTTCCTCACGTTCGCAGGAGGAAAGCCTGACATCATCGAATTCCACTGAGCTGGTGCGAAGTCATACATGGCCAGACATGAAGGCAGCCGATCCGGTCAGTTGCTCCTCAAGACACAGCTATTTCTGCGGGCTTTGTTGCAATCACGTCTAAAAATTGCCGTCAATACCAGTGCATCAGAACAGATATTTTTGTTAATAGCAACCACTCATATACGCGTCTCTATAGAAACAGATATGCATTATATATATATAGATAATTAGTTGTTCAGTATCATAATATATACATATATATATATGTATATATAATTATATATATTATATCTCTGGAATGGTCAAAGAGCTGTTTGGTTTGCAGACATCTCTTGGCAGTGACAAAATTACCCTGCCAGGAGCCGCAGCTGGAAGAAGTAGGCGACGGGGGAGTCGAGAGCGGGGAGTCGAGAGCGAGTCGAGAGCGAGTCGAGAGCGAGTCTCGGAGGCTTTCTTGAAACCATCAGATATTTTTCATTTATACTAAGATTATACTAAGAGGTTTGATATCCACAGACTATAGATTTTATTTAGATATCAAATGGATGATTCTAGTTATCTGGTTTGATGTGGTTTTATTACCCATAGGATCCATGTATGCTATATATTATATATGGTAACATTTATCATCAATATACCCAAAATGTTAGCATATATACCATACATGGATCCTATGGATAATTATTGGATCATTATTGGAAATGACCAATTATTAGTTGTGATCCATAATTATGATTATTGGATAATTACTATTAGTTGTGATCATTATGGATAATTAATAATTATTATGGACCACAATTAATTGTCCAATAATACTTATTATCCATATGATTTATTATAACATGAATGAATTAATCCAACAATCATGATCAATCCATATTAACGCATGAGATCATTAATCCATATTCAGACATTGGTACATCATTCACCCATATCAATCCAATGATCATAATTGGACCAAAATACGTGGACAAAATTTGTTTGGTGATAAATTTGGACGGGGCTTTCATTTTCACCAGAATTGGACCACACAACAATGATTATGAAAAAACACATTGTTTTTAAGCAACATGACAAATTATGTAAACAATGATGTTGCCAAATTGGTTGATAGATGTTAGTAGATGATTTTTGGGGAATTCGCTAGTCGCTAGAGACTCCTAAGTGAAGAGCTGTGAAGGTGAACGGCACCGTGTCTTTTCCAACGCCGGAGCTCCAACGCTATGAATCTCCGTGGTTCCTTCTGACATACACATCCCTTGTGGCCTTAGAAAGTTTGGTCCAAAGATGTCCGCATCTTTAGTGCAAAACACGTTATAATCTTCATAATGTTCCAGTCAAGCATCACGACATCAGAACTTCAGCTTATTTTTCATATTCCTTCATGTTTATTCCATGTTTTAATGGACTTTTAATGGACTTTTGGCCAATGTCTATCCAATTTATTGGACTCCTCTGATTCCTCTTGACAGGTCGAAGACATTCCTGGGCTGTGGCCGATCGGGACCTGCTACCGGCCGTTTTTTTGAATCGCCCGTCACGGGAGGCCAGCGGAAGTTTCTGAAGCTCCTGGTCTTTTCCCCGCAAAACAAAAAAAAATGAGGTGAAATCTCATCTAAAAGTGAGCAAACCTGATTTTTCCGTGGTTTTTCTTTTGCCGAATTGTTGTATGTTTTGGAAATCCAGACAAATATTGAGTGAATAACCAACAAAAAACCTGCTGGAAGTCATGAATATGCTTGGCTCCGGATCGACCAATCCGAAGCTGCATTAGAATCCCACAATCATCATCATCATCATCATCACCATCACCATCATCATCATCATCATCATCATTATCATCATCATCATCATCACCATAAAATCACCATAAAATCACCATATTATTATGATTGTATATCATATCATCATGTTTGTATGATGTCCAACTTTTCTATCCTGATTCTATCCTATGTTTGTGGTTAAACCATGCTAAACCATGTTAACCCTCATCCTCATCCATCCGCAATCTTCGAAGACTATCTCTGCTTGTGGTCTCGCGTGGCGGCGGAGCACCGCAGAGCGGTGCTCCGCCGCTGTCGCAAGTCTACCACAGTGGCCTTATGCAATCAAACTTTGGAGATGGTAAACAAACAAATATAGCATATATCATTAATATATTGTAAATTGATATTTCATAAATACTTCAATGAATATTTAATGAATTGTGTAATGGATATTTAACAGTGGATATCATATAATATATATATATATTATCATAATAAAATATATTTGTGTTGGATTATTTTGGGAAATATACTGCTATATAAAATGAACTCAGCAATGAACACGGGGATAAACATGCCAGGCTGAGGGATATTAATGGATGTCAATGGGGGTTTAATCCATGTGGGTATAACCTTTCAAATATCCATTTGAACAGGAATAATGATGATTACCCAGTGGATCTAGGGGTACCCTTCAGACAAACCCTTGGGATATCCGAGCAGGTTTTTGTTTCACAACAGCCAGGCACAACCAACGGACGTTAGCCATAGATGTTGGGAGGGAATCAGGCGGTTTTAACACCTGCCTGCAATGATGTTCCTTTCTGGACCCAGAATTCTTCGTTTCTGGAAATCATTTGGGAACAGACATGGCACAGACATTTTTTTGGTCTTTGAAACTCCGAATCGCAGGAAAACACCTAAAGATTACAATAAAACACATGTCTTGTGTGGGTTGATTTTCAAAAAGAGACTGCTCAAAGTCATGCTTTTGCCATGAGAATTTGTGGCAAGATTCCATCAGGCCATTGTCTTGAATTCAGTTGCATCTTCTCTCAGAGACAATTGACGATTAGTAGACTGCGAGAGATCGCTAGCACAGCCGCGCGAAGCGCCGCTGAAAAAAAAAGCAACTCTCGGACTCTCAGGTTGGTCTCAAAATGGAGGACATGATAGCATATGCAACATTTTTGTTCCTGAAAAGAGAACATGATGATAAACTGCTTAAGTTATATAAACCTATATAAACATATAACATATAAACTATATATTGGGATGTTTTTAGGTTCTTGGACAGCCCAAATTTCTGTCATGTCCAGGATGGGCTCCGATCTACCCAACTGAAATCTGACTTCAGCAAGGGCTGGTTCTTGGTGGCGAAGGCAGGTGTAAAATGGAACTTGGATGTGCAAATTGGAATAATGGAAGGCTGTTTTGCGACTAGTGATTATATCATGTAGAAAAACCACTATATCCATGATGAGAGGGGTACAGTTTTTTTTTATGCTCAAGTTGAAATCTGCGAGGTCCCGGGTCAAAGGTTTTCTGTGATAAAAAAAGACCTGGAAGGGTTGAATCTTCAAATGGCAAGGGGACCATCAAAGTTATTCAAGGGATTTCAAGGGTTTAATATGATTTAATATGATTTAATATGATTTAATATGATTTAATATGGTTTAATATGATTTGATATAATATGATTTAAATATATGATTTAATATGATTATATATGATTTAAATATATGATTTAAATATATGATTTAAATATATGATTTGATTATATGATTTGATATGGTTCAATGTTGTTCTATCCCAGTTGGAATTCAGAATCAACTAGTGGAACTGACATTTTTCGGACCCTGTCGAAGCATTTCTCATCGACTTGATTCCCCGGGCGAAAACCGAAAACGTGGTCGAAAAGAAGTAAAGTACAACAGCTCTATATTTTGGATACATATGGTATCTATGTGTTTTGTGCACATGACTGCACATGTAAAGATACGTGGTTTATGTCTGAAAAAAATGATGTGTTATAACGACCTCACTGGTCTCCCGAACCCTGGAATTATGGTTCATAAGGGAAATCATCCCCAAATGGCCGAACTATTCAGGTTAGTGAAATATTATACCCTCTGGTAATTTAACATAGCTATAGACAATCACCATTTTTAATGGGAAAAATCCACTATAAATGACCATTTTCAATAGCTTTTTGTATGTTTACCAGAGGGTAATTTACCCAGATATGGAGCGCCAGGCCATGTGGAAGGAAGGCTCCAGGTCGGCGGCTCTCAAGCAGATCGAGGTGGCAACCGGGATTGTGATGTTGTATTTTTTCACAAATTCAATGGGAATTTCAGGATCCTAAAATGGAGGTACTGTACCATATAAGGCCATATTTTGGGGGGATATTCCCTTACACAGGCCTTATATATGGTAGGTACCTCCATTTTAGGATCCTGAAATTTCCATTGACAAATGGAATGTTTTTTCCAAGAACCAGTAGTTATTCATAGTTGGATTAAATGATTTAAATGGTTAATTACTAATAGTTGGATTAGTTGGATTATTGATATTTAGTAATGGTAATTAATAGCTGGATTAAATGGTAAGTATCAAATTATTAGAACAACCATTAATAATAGTAATTAGTAAATCTGTATATATAAGATGATAAGTATCAGCAATGGTTGTTCTTAATATTACTCAAAATTACTGCTTATAATTCTTACTGAATCAGTAAGAATTATAACAAATAGTAATGTGTGTAATAAAAACCCAAGAATCACAAAAAATGGTTAACACATGTTTGCATAATGAATATTAGTAATTAGCAACCAGTTATATTAATTATGTTAACCAATTACTTATGGTTAATAGGTCCAAATATTAGTGAAACTTACCATCTCAATTAAACCAATTATACTTATTATATAATCAATTAAATATTAATATTAATGAAACCAGGAATATACATATTAATAACCATTATGGTTTAACGTATGATCGACTTCTGGGTCCCATTGATGGTTCCATGATTCCCATCCGACACAGCCCCGATTCTCTGGTTCCATGTGACTTACCATCTCCGGCTGCGAAAAATAGTGGATGGGATTCTTTCACCAAACGGGGGCATATAATACATATATATATATACATATACTACTGTAGATATAAGTGGATATGATAGATAGGATGCACTAGCCAATCCAAGCTCTATTTGTGCATATATATATATATATAGAGATTTAGATGTATATAGTTGAATAGAGCTAGCATGAACTAGCATGTTTTTCGTTTTCTGCGATCTAAATCCATGGAATGTGGGTTTGTCTGAAAATAGGGTATCCCCAGATCTGATGATTCATCATCCGATTTTCCATGTTCAGATGCTCCTTTGATGGGTATTTTTCACATTTTCAGACACACCTGAGGCTTTGTTTAAACCAGAAACCAGCAGGAGATGTTTGTTGTAATCAGATCGAGGAGCAAGATGGGCTATGACGGCTATGAGATGATTGAAGCGCTTTCCACATGGACCCACCATCCATTGCATCGTTGTCTATTTTGCTGAGTGTTGATTGCTGATGTTGGTCATTGCATTGGTGTACAATAAAACCAGGAACCAATATTGTCATTGTGATTTCCATTATTGTGTCAGAATTTGAGCAAAAAAACGCAGGACAAGTCTGGGGATATCACATGGACAGCGGATGATATAGCCGGCCTTTCAGCTAACAGAATTAGAGGATATCACCATGAAATCATGTTTACATGGTCAAGTGTTGGCCTGGGGATATCAATGGCTACAAACCAACACAAACATTGGGGTGAGCAATTAAACCAATTCGACCAGATGAAACCTTGATTGATGTGGTAACCCTGATACAGCCAGTTGATTCAGAAACAGCAATCAGGTCATGAATCCTGCCTCAATCATGTTTGACCTTTTTCGGCGGTTGTATGCCATTGTCAGCAATTTTGACATGTTTTTCACCATAACCAAATAATTAAAGCATCAAAATTTTGACCAGTGGGAACTTTAGGTTGAAAGCATTTTAGATTCTTATAAACCATTATCAAAAATATACTATGCGACCGATATATAATAACAGTCATAAGTGAACCATAAGGCAATAATATGCAATAATCAGAACCAGCAATGACAATCTTCAGATGAGTAAAGAGTAACCATGATGAATATCAGTAATCCCATGACCCTGGTATTAAACAACCGCGGTTGATTTTATCCCCCACTAAACCATCGTCTGGGTGTTTAATTGATATGAGTGTGGGGCGGGATTAATTACAATCACAACAGCTATAATTAACCATCATGATAATAGGTTTACTGGGTAGAACTAACCATGATAAATGTCAATAATCATAACTGTTAATTAGTGAGTTATCCAATATGATTATCAGTATCCCGCCATTGTTGATTAATTATATGATATAGTCGATTGCTCTCCATATCGCCTTGATGTCCAATATATAAAAATAACAACAGTTTCGTTATTCACATCCATTATATATCCACAAATATATATATATATATATATATTAATATCCATTATATAATGTCCATGATATAGTCATAATATATACCAATGATTTTTCAATATATGTATATATATATATATATATATATACATATCTTATTGATATCCATTCTATAACCATCATACAACCATTTATGAAGTATATATCCATCATTTTTTCTTGCCCAAGGTTGCCTTGCGCTTAGTCTCTCAGCCCGAAGACTTGCTGGCACTGAAGGAGCAGCTTCGGGAGTTCAAAAACGCTCCACCCTGCCACGGTTTTGCATCTGTTGGATGCCGGTGGAAAAAATGTGTAAAACCCAACACAAAATGGTGATTTTAGACGTTTAAAACTGATGATGTGACACCAGGAAACATTTTGTGTTCAGAAAAATGTTGTGATGGTAGCTGAATGATGCACATCCAAGGAGGCAGGGTATGTAACACTTGGATTTAACCAACACAACCCATGGTGATGGTAGAATTTGCTGGCCATTTGGAACTGGGTCACAAACGATGTTTATGCCCAGTGTTATTAGACGAAAAGAGAATCCTTCAACAGAAATTATCTCACGTACCTTGTGAGATGGAATCCCGAAAATTGCCATGCTGCTTGGTTTTCAGAGTCAAACCCAGCTACCGAGTCCAAAAGGATTGCCGCAGAGGACAACATCCTAAGAGAAGTTGAAGAGAAAGCAACATCTCGAAGCAGCTCGAAGACACCAGGTGCTGATTGTATTGTTGCGTCGAATTCTGGTGGAATCATGTTCCAATGTGATTGATATCTCCAAATGTTGAGTCAGACCTCAAGTTTTCATATGTTTTCTGGTGAATGGTCGCTTGTGTGCTGACTCGCCAATGCTGAAAACTCACTCATTGGGGACTCAGTGGAGCCGGTGGCCGGGTGCCGGTTGCCGGATGCCGGGTGCCGGTGGCCGGAAGACAAAACATGTATATTATGCGTTGTTTAGCGGCTCAACTTAGAGAAATATCCATATGGAACGGTCCGTGGCATATGCCTCTAAATAGCGGCTTTAATAGGGGAAATGATGATCAACTATGAATTTTCGAGAAAACTTCCTATTTTCAGGCAAAGCCATATGTTATATTAGGATCAAGTGACTTAGGACTTGTGAAAAGTACCCGGGGGGGGGGGCAAAGGTCAGCGTCAAAGGGGATGCGCGGACACTCCTGGTAGTCATGCAATCATATCTAAATATGAGACAAGAAACAAAGCTGTTTTAAATTCACCATGTGGCAATCGCGGGGGGGGGGCAAAGGTCAGCATCCAAGGGGATGCATGGACTCATGCTCTCCTGGCCGAGCCTGTAAACCCATGGTTTTCAAAGATTTCAAGAACAAAGTCTTTCAAACCAGACAACTGCTGAATGTTGGGTTTGAGCCGTGGCTGAAATTCATCATAGAATTCGTTTGGCAATGGAACATCCATCTTCGTGACTGAAACACAATGACTTTGAAACTAAGCAGCAGAAAAACAACAGGGGAGTGTCCTATGTCATCAGGTGTGCGCTGGCCATCTTCCCTAGATTTTTGGATAGATTAAAATATAAAAAAACATGTCTTGGATGAACCTCACATGTTGCTTAAGTGCAATGACTTAGGACTTGGTACACGAAACTCCTATGTCATCAGGGTGGCTTAAGTCCTAAGTCACCAGAACCTAATATACATTGAAATCACTGAACTATGGAATGTCTAACCTCCATAAGTTGGATCTAAGCCCTACAACTATGGTGAAATACAACCCACATCCATTAGTTTATCACTGCACCTCAAGCCGCATGGTTTAGGAAACATATCACCCGATCCGTCGCCAGGTTTGCATTTGCCCCAAATGCGAAGTCGCAGTGTCTCTCCTTGCATCACCCCAACACCGGGCTCACGAGTGGCGACACCACCACCTGTGTCGCCTGTGAGGAGTGGGGAAGAAATGGACTGGGAGGAAATAGCAGGTGAAGCCCCCCAGTCAGTTGGATTATAAACCCCATGAATACATATATGAATACTACACGTAGCCATATCCTCCATAAAGCAGGGTTAACCTAGTTACAAGTCAGCTCAACAATTTTTTGGGGGCCATCATCTCGCACAGCTCCCACACTGAAATATCACATGGGACCTCATAAATGTATATATCTATATATATATATATATGTGACATTTCCAGTAGCAGTCAGTAGCAGTCACTCATTGATTTGATAAGGTCTTTCATAAATAAGCGTCGACTGGTGTGTTGCTTAGGCTGTGCTAAAAAACCGTTAAACGCATCCACTCAGGGGCCAGGGGATGCAGAGGATCATACGTCATGCAACTTACATCAACTTACCATGCGGCTCAAAGTTAGAAGTGGGAATGGACTAAAAACTGCTTGGTGGTTTGGAACATGACTGGATTATGACTTTCCATGTATTGGGAATAATCATCCCAATTGACTTTCATATTTGTCAGAGGGGTAGGTATACCACCAACCAGAAAATGATTGAAAATCTACGGCCACTTAGTTGATCCGATCACCACTTATAACTACTATTTGATCACGTCCCAGCCATGCTGACGTCACAAAAACCTCCCAGCCATGTTTGGCATCCATTGGCACCAGGTTATCATCATTTTCCCAACTAACAACGCCGTATATTGAGGGTAACCCCCTGTCCCATTTTGTTGATTGAATCCTGCGAATCAGCAGTTTTGTTGTTCTTGAACATATGTTGGAAGCAAGATATTGAAAACACATGTAAAGAAGCACCTTTATCACAATATGCAGACATTCATTCATGTAAGCAAGCACCTTTATAAACATGCAGACCCTCCAACTAAAACACATCCCCAACAGATAGATAAGTAGAATCCTACAAGTGACAGTGACAGGTCATGATAACAACAAAAACTCAAGAGAAGTAGTGATACTAAGTATCATCACATAGTGACACCCAAAAACTATAGATTCTAGTAGGATGATAATCATCCTACTAGAATCTATAGTTTTTGGGTGTCACTATGTTATTTCTTTAACATAAAAAAATGTCTATCCAGGACGCCCTCGCGCACATCCCAAGCCGCGGCCGAGCCAAGCTCCGGGCGCGCGCCCTCCACCTCTTCGAGGTGAGATTTTTTTTGGTATATGGCATATACATGTCATAACATATAAATATAGTTACTGAATCTATAAAAATATAGTTACTAAATCTATAGTTAATTGTTAATGATATATATTACTATAGCTACTAAATCTATAGTTAATTGTTAATGATAGTTGGTACATACTGAAGTTGGTTCATTTCAAGTTTCTGAATCACTATACCCTCTGGTAAATTAAGAGTTCGACCCTGAAAATAGGCAATTTTTAGTGGACACGAATCTTCGAACCCGTATTTGCCAGGGTCTATGTTCATTTCTGTTAATTTACCGGAGGGTAATCATGTGGTTATTATATGCAATAATGCAAGAATGATGATTACGGTAATAGACTACTGATAGTAACAACAATCGTTGATGATGATGATGATGAAGATGAAGATGAAGATGAAGATAATGATGATGGTCGTAAAAAATAATAATATATGTTATTTTTGTGTTTATTTTCTTATCGTATCTTATCGGCCGCAGGAAGCGCTCCACGAGCCGCACGGGGAAGTTGCCAGCGATGCCTGCGCATGTGGCAAGGGCCTTTGCGGTTTTCGGAGAGGAGGAGCGAAGGGCGAAGGAAGGTTGGGTTAATATATGATATATGATTACAGGATATTACACATGGAATATTTATATCAATATGTAATCGTCTATGCCTATTGCGATATCGATATATATATATATATTATTTCGATAATGATAATGATGAATCTGTATCAATACATGTATATTCCAATAATAAGACATATGTGACTGTGCAATATTATATGTGATGCAACTACTACTATACACACATATATATATATATATGTAAACTTCATTTACAGTAGACATATGTATACATATTATTGTGCAATAAGTTTTGAAAATTGAACATCGCATAGAATGGTCATGGCTCATTGGAAGTCAAGTGATGTTCGGATTCGTATTGTTGTTCCCAGAATCATCGGTAATCAATTCATTCTCCAACATGCGGCGGAATTGCAAACCAACACAGAACGTTGGACAGCGAGGACTGAGGCAGGATGTCGCGGTGCTTTCGCATGTACATAGCGCCACAACCAGCATGTGGCTTTCAGATTGGCTGTGAGTCAAATTAGGAAATGTCTATGAAATTCTTCCAATTTCTTCCTTAAGTCAGTGTTCCCTATTTCTCTGAGATATCAGGGAGTTGTAGCAATTTTCGTCTTGTTTTGGTGGTGCCAGATTGGTCCACAGCCGATAGAAATGCTGATGTCTCGCACTGGATCCCGATGGACCTTGCTGGATTTTTTTGTTGGACATACTGTGGATGGAGGAAATCCTGCACCAGTTAGTAGATGGTTTGTCCCATTGTAATCCCATTATTTACAGTGTTTTATAGTTCCCAATACTTACCAACTGGTGCAGGATTTCCTCCATCCACAGTATCTTGGTGTTTCTACTTGTAGCTGGATCCATTTTTGGTGTCTGAGAATGGTGGTTCAGAATCACCAGGATCAATATCAAATCGCCAGGAACATATTGGATTCAACTCCAAAAAATACCATGAGTTCCTCCAGATTTCCTCATCGGAACGATACTATTTGTCCTGGCTTCGGCATGGAACCGTTTTTCGTTTTTTTTTTTGGGGGGGGGCAGATCAACGTGACCCAAGAATTCTTATGGGATATCTGCATCCATGCCATGCTATATGGAACGCTGGAACCTCATTTTTGGGGGGTTGGGATTGACTCATCTGGATAAATAAAAAACAACCTCACGTTGCGACTGGAGTGATGGCGAATGGATTAGGGGAATCATCCCTTCAACGGCCTTTTGATAAGAGCCAGGTTATGTGGGTTAAAATCATCGTTGAATAGGATATTTAAATAGATGTGTATATATATATAATATATATATATATATAAAGGATGAGCAGATATAGGATGATATAGGTATAGCTATAATATCACTAACCTGATACTGACCAAGTTCTTATAGGTCCCTATGAGATAGGTTCTCAGCCAGACTTTTTTCGGGGTCTTAAAATCCTGTGCCCGGATCCGCTGATTCTCCAGGTACCGCGGACCTTCGATGACCCTTTGATGGTGCAATGGGCCAAAAAGAAGGCAAACAGGGACCCTCTTGGGCCCATGCATTAGAAGTTCCCTCAAATGACCATAGATAGAGATCATGTGAACACCAAACATCGTAAAAATAGGAGGATTAAGAGGTGCAATCAGTACCTCATATATTTCCAGGTTTTCATGTACGACGGGCACAGTGAGGGTCAAGGGATTTCTCACTGGGAATCTACAGCTCCCAAAAAGCTGAACTGAACCACCATTGAAGCACCGGGACTTCAATATTTGGGACTGCAAGAAACTCAAGTAGGTATTTAGGCTAACATAGATTTGCCTGTCGCAAATTCATCCAATCTCAGGATTTTATCCGACTAGAGACTGGCTGAACAAAATGTCATCATTGCTGACCCAGCCATTTGAAAGATATTTGCAATATCCTGGAGATGGGTTGAATCAATATGAATCAACCACTATATATATAATATATAATATAGATATAGATATAGAAAATAATTGAATAGGGCATGAATAGGGCACTATATATGCCATCTTATATTTGAATCAACCACTATAGAGATGCGTTTGTTCGATGCCCTTCGGGACCTGGAGTTTCCTGGTCCAGGATCCAAATACTGAAGTCGACATTCGTGGGTCATCGGCTCAGGGCAGCCATTTGGTAACTTTAAATAGGGGGGTTGACAGAATGGTTATGGCCATGTCACCCATTTCTTGTGGATTTGTGGAGTTGAGACACAATAATTACAACTAATTTCATTGACGTTTTGGTTTGATCTTGCAAGTGATCGTCTATGTCCAAAGTTGTGTACGTCAGTGGTTGCCAGATCTGCGAAGATTCTCCTCTCTATGGTCTCTATATATATATATTATGAATATGTATATATATATATATATCCATATATTTCCATATTGCAGCCGTCCCTTGTTCTCCATGAAATCTTCTTGGATCTTCCCCATTCATCCTATGAAATACCCCATTCATCGACACCTAAGGATACACCAACTGGTCAAACATGGCTTAAGCTGGAAAATCCCCATTCAACAAATCCTTCATAACGGAGATGTTTCCCTTGAAAAGCCTCCATGAAAAATTGAGGGGTTTTCCCCACCGAGGTTCTTGGAACCGAAAGCTCCGCCTCGTGAGATTCGCAGACAGGTGCGGAGATGAGCTTGGAGCGGCTATGGAATGACATGATTTCATCACGAAATACGAAGATGTACCTCCCAAGGACCAATTTGGTTGGGGTTTTTGGATGTTTTTGGTGCCCTGAGGATTTTTGAGGTGTGGAAAAAAAGGTCTATTCCCCTTGTTTGGGCTTGGAAAGATATGGAAAGACTCATCAAAACATTAGTTTGGGCTTGGAGTCAACATCAAAAAAGCAGCTAAGCCATAGAAAACAGCCACATCTATGTTTTGGTTGTGATGGTGTGGAGTCTATAGCCATGGCATGAGGTGAGTGACCTCTTTTCGTTACCGCAGTTTGAACGCATCAGCAATGGGGGAAGCCGTCAACGTTCGGTTCACAAGGAGCCCCAAACATATCATATATGTAAGAAGATGATTGCTTACATGATCATATAAGTATCATAAATGATATTATATGATATTATAAGTAACTATATAAGAATGATGTTATCAATATTATATTAAATAATCAAGTGTATGATATTATGATAGATTATGCATGATATATACACATAGTGTCATAGTTTCAGAGCTGCTCTTTGCAAAGCTGTCGGGAGACTTGCTTTTCAACAGCCTCATTTGACCAATTTGAGTCCTGTAGTTATAGCAATCTAAGCTGGCTATGGCAAATTCATCAAACAGAAACCACAATTACATCCAAATATGGTTTGGCCATTAGATGGTTTATCTTTACGCAGCCATGGTTTACGCCACTTCCCAACCAGACATAGTTCTGTTTCTTCCGTGTAGAGAGTGCCCACCAAGCAATGCGGCAATGCGGCGTCAGATTTGCCAAAGGCGTGGCTTACAGCACTGGATTTTGAGACTTATCGTTTGCCAGAAGCATCAGTGACAGGATATATGAGATGTGGAATTCTGTGTCACTGATTTGGAGTTCTTGGATCCTTTAAATATGTGATTACAGTACTTGTTATGCCTTTTGTTTGTCACTCATTTCGTTTGGGATTGGAGGATGCTAGATGCATCCAGGTTTACAGCATTTGGAGTTCCGAGTTGCAAATATCGGATATGAATCCACACTCTTTGGTTTTCATGTGCATCAACTATATTTTTTTTAAATGACAAAAAACGTGACTTGACCAATCCTCAAGAGTTTGACAATCATGATACTATAAGAACTTCTACAAGTTGTTCGTTCAGCCCATGTTTTCACTGTACCTTTGATCAAGTTTTGCTAATTTGAATGGGTTTTCATACCTTTTAAGTATCCAATGGGTACGACCCCGATGATCTCCGACGTTTTTGGGGTATCACTCGCATCCAGGAGCCGATCTGCAACAAGCCGCAGCATCAGCAGCCTGCGGCTGCGCCATACCCAGCTGCTGCTGCGGGGTGGTGCACGCACGCCACTGGAGCCGCTGGAGCCGCCTAGATGCAGCGCAGCAGATGGTGATGTGAAAAAACGGGGTGACGTTGAGCAACCGAAAACTGAAAGGTGGAAAAAAAAATCAAGTTGATCATTTGACACTTGAATCTCAGGAGTTTTCTATAGTTTTCTCTAAAGAACAGAGGGAAGGACCATTCTTAAAAAAACACATAGTGGAAAACGGTGACATTTTGACCCCCAAGGCCCGAGAGTTTTTGGCGCTCCACTTTGCCAAACGAAACCCTCCTGCGACGACACATTCTGAATTCCACAGAAGGCACCAGGGACGGGGTTGGGGCCATGGTAAAGTCCTCAGCGTTTTCTGGCGGTCATACTCGATAGTAGATGTAAGTTCAAAAAGCACACTTCAAGGGGATATTTGATGGAGTATACATGAGTATACGATAAATGGATATAAATGGGATATAAGCCAACACTAATCTTGAAAGATGGTTTGCCCAGAAATTAGTTATACCCAATTTGTTGCCATTTTCATGAGACAAATGATTATGAACCATTGGATTGGCTTCAGAATAGCCCAAAAGGAACTGATTGAATACTAAAAACCCTGGTTTTGAGGGATTGGTTCTCCCACTTTTAGGGGATTGACATGGATGTTCGAAGAAAAATCCTTCCTTGGCGCTGTTGCTCCCAGTGTTGATGGAATGCTTGGTTGTTGAGAATTCCTCACCAAAAGATCCAAAAAATATGTGGCTTTGTCAAAAGGAGTACCCCCAAAAATTCATGCCAACAAAAAACCATCCAATTTCTGTCCTATTTGTGTCCCAGTTGGTGCTTTCAAACATTTTTTATGTTCCATAAATATGTGGGTTGTCATCCTTCCCATTGATATCCATTGATCATATTTTTTCAGGGGGGTAGGGCTCAACCACCAACCACCATTAGATCCTCTTAGAATGGCGTCATGTTGGAATTCGGGTCCCTCGGACCCCAGGGGCCCGACGCAAAGTTCGTCTGGACTCACTGTGGAATCAGCTCACTTTGCGGGGCATGGATGAGGCGGACTGGCCGCCGATGCTGCTGACGGGCTGTGCTAAAGATGGTCAGGGAAGAATGGGAAGAATAGGGAAGAATAGGGAAACCCATAGGTTTTTTGCATGTGAAACTTGAGGGCTTTTCTGGAGACCATTTTCTGAGAGACGTCGTAGCAATGCGGAAATTGCGCAGTCGACAGCTCCATTCTTCGACCGCTCCAGTCCTATGCGTTGGGGCGCCGGATCGAAACATGGATCTTTGAGCACCTGGGTGTTGATAGCGGTGTGGCACTGGAGGTTGAGAGTTTTTTCTGGCGGGATATCTCAAATATATCTCGAAATGTAAAACTTTGTGGGAAATACAGTAATATATATATAATATGTAGTAATATTCCTGACGAGAAAAAATGTATGAGTTTTGTATGTAGATCATACGTGATGCGCGGGTCGTTGGTCTCCTTGCGGGAGCCCAACATGGCAGTTTTCATGGGGAAAGGTGATAATCCGACCGCAGTTTTGGAAAAAAGAGTCAGCCCATTTTGTTCTGGTTGGTGGTTTGGAACATTTTTTATTTTCCCCAATAGCTGGGATGATGATCCAATCTGACTAATATTTTTCAGAGGGATTGAAACCACCAACCAGTGTTGATTGTATACTGATTATATAATATTATAATATATTATATACATATCCCCCAAAATATATTCCTAGCATTTCCTATAGCCAAATGTTCATCTTCTATCTCTATTCATCCCTATTCTATCCCATTGTGAAGTGGAGGGAAACAGCATTTTTTAGGGTCAGAGTTCTGGGCCGAGGCATAGCCCAAAAAATGAGGACGAGAATGAGGACAGAGCTGTCGACGACGAGGTGAAGATTGAAGTGTATATGGGTATGGATCAATACCTATGAAAATACCATTTTTAGTGGGATGAACATCCATACATCCCAGCTATTTTGATGTGAACAAAAAAGGGGTACAAGGTTTTGACACACTGCCATATTCCGTCGTTGTTCTTGTTGCTTTGAAGTATATACCACTCCTCATGTCCGAATCAATGAATGTCCTAGTTGCCTGACTATACTGTCATGATGATTTTCTTCCGTATTTAGGACTGTCCAAAAAACACCACGTTACATCGCCGCAGGAGCTTCCTACCACAGTGATCACCTCGCCCGATCAGCGCTCCATTCTGACGGCTCGCGCAGCCACTGGACGAACCGGGCGAACCGGTGGGGAACAAGAATTGGTTGTCACCGTTGTCACCCCACCAAAAGGATGAAGACGTGAAAACCTCTATTGCAAAAGTGGTAAATAAAAAAAATACTTGTTCATCCTGAAGTCAGTGATGGATAATGAGGTACCAATAACTGTTGGGATAATATAAAATTGTGTGGTTTATTCTCCGATATAACTATCTGATAGTTCGGGGTGATGGGAAATTAAGATGACTCACAGATGGTCGGCCACTGAAAATCGTGAGTAGATGGGATTTGCCACATTTCTACCAACACAATTAGGATGGTTGGACCATCCAATATCGGATGATCAAAGACGAATGAGTAGGCCTTCCAATGGTGGATCATTTGGCACCCCAATTTTGCGCGGAAAGATGCGGAAAGACAACACCAAGATATGGGATATGAATAGATATCATGGATAGTTTCAATTATGATCCTACCTATCCATCATGTAGATAATTTCTGTACACATGTGCATATGATCTGGGTAAATTATAACGGCCTCACTGGTCTCCCTCACTGGAAATCATGGTTAGTAAGGGAAATCATCCCCAAATGGCCCAACTATTCAGGTTAGTGAAATACTATAATTTACCCAGATATGAGAAGATATGCTTTTGATATCGATATGAGTCATGGATGAGTCATAGAGTCACAAGCGGATTTTTCCCGAGACTGAGCCGCGGCGATTCTGGTAGTTTCTGGTATTTTATGCATGTGGTAAACCTGTGTAAACCCCCCCCCAAAAAAAAACGAACGATATGGGGACAGGGATTGGTAAATGTCCCATTTTGGGGCTATTGGACATCACCTTTGAATGGCAATTATAGATGAGATAGCTCATGGTTGGGTGATGTTCAGTGGTGACATTTAATGACCCATGGGGGATGGTCAAAAAATACCATCCCAAAGTTTGATGGGAATCCTTGGATCCTAGGTGCTGCGGGGACTCTGTGCCAAAGATCGCGAAAGCGATCCCATGGCGGTGCGTTTGCGCACCATGAGAGCTGCTTTAAGGATAGCAGACATTGAGGCAAGCTGGCAACAGGGCATCATGTGGTATATCTATGTATATCTATATAATTTGAATTATTTGTTGTTGTATACCATTCCCATTTTTTCCTCAAATATTGTGGTTTGGTTTCTAGTTCCCGTCAGAGAGGTTGAGTGTTTGATTTAGACAACTGATATGTGTCTGCAAAGGTTTATCCTTTGGGCACCTATGGGACCTCACCTGATGCTCTTCCATCAGCACTTCATCAACTTATCCTCTTCTATCCAGCGGAACGCAATCGCGAAATGGCCTTGTTGAAAAGTGGGTGAATGAAGTCGGTGAATTCTGATCATCAATTGTGTCTGGGCAATAGTACCAATTCAACCATGTGCTATGAAATAGTTCTATGCCCTCCGGTAATATCAAACGTGGCAATTTTTCAATCCCCGAAGTTTTCATGGAGAATTGTCCAGCAAGCCACCGCAATGACACCCGAAGGATAGATATTTTCTGATCATTTTCCCAGATACGGTGGATGGAAGCGAAATCCCCAGTTGAAAACGGTGGTTTATCATGGTTTATCCCATTATTTACAGCTGGTTGGTGGTTTGGAACATTTTTTATTTGTCCATCATATATGTTTTTTTTTCCTTCCCATTGACGAACTCACTCCATCATATTTTTCAAGATGGTTTTCTAACCACCAACCAGACAGGGTTTCAACATGTTTCAACCATCCTTTACCCTCTGGTAAACTAACACTTTGCTATGGAAATATCAATATCCACCATTTCTATAGCTGGATAAATCCACGATTTCGACTGGGCCATGGGCCATTTTCAAGTTCCCAAACTGTTAGGATCTGGAGGACCTGGAGGACCTGGAGGATGTTGCTATGGACCTCACCGAACTGCTGGCGCTGCCTGCGGATGCCCTGGAAGGTGCTGCTGGATGGATGGATGGATGGATGGACATGTGAAATCCATGGCGATAAAATTCATGAATTTTTCAATAGGGATGTGATGTTTGCGCAACAAGATATGATTTGGGTGTCTGAAGATGAAGTATTATATGAAGTATAACCGCAATTAATTAAAGCCATTTCTTGATCGGACATGTCCGAACCAGAGGATTTTTTTAGGTCTCTATTTTCAGACAGTCACTAACTAGTACCAACTATTTTTAGGGTCCTGAAGAAAAAGGATGTCCCTCAAAATTTCCCTGCTGATGGACATCGGTGTTGGGGATGATTTTCTGACCATGCAGCACCAGTCCGCTGTTTCGTCACTCGCGTGGTGGCACTCAGCACTCGTGTGCCAGCACTCGCGTGCTCAGCACTCACTCCAATGTATTTTTCCCGGTGTGCATCCTAGTAGATATGTTTATCTTGATTTAGATAGTGGATGATGTTATTATATATTATTGGAATAGGAAAAATGCATTAGAGTGACAATAAGCATGAGATATCATGAGATACTCATCACATTCATGAGAGCCACACGAGTACCTCCAAGTGGCGTTGATTTTTTCAACACCCTGAAAGAATTTACCCTTTGGGAGGAAACGGGGAAACCCCAGATGTTTTTTTTGGGAAGCGCAAAATGCATCCGGACGTCAGGCAGATATTCGCACGTCACCGGATGTTTTTTTAACAGAAAAGTAAATGCACCGAGGTATGAATAGGATGATAAAACCCAATGCATTTCGAACTTGCGATTTACTATCCCTTTAAGGTCTAGAATTTGTATGGATGTTTTTTTCGGATCTAGTTAAATGCATTTACATATTATATCACAATGCTAAAAACCCACTGCGTGACGAACCTGCGTGCTAGCACTCAGCGTTGCGCGTGCTGCGTGCTGGAGCTGCTAGGTGCAGCACAAATGTGTTTGATCCCCAAAGTGACTTCGTTGTTTCTGATTTGTCGTGTTTTCATGTGTTTTCTTTAAGGATTCTTTCAACCTTGGAATGTTGCTTTTTGTTGATTTCTTAGGATTCTTGGGGACGGGTTCAAACCACCAAAATCCACTGCAGGTTGCATACTTGAAGTCGATCATTTTGCTCGCTCATGCTTGTGGCTCAAGAAGATTGAGAAGCAACACATGATGCTTGAACCATGTCAGCGCATTGAAATCTTTGGGCAAGTCTTGCGCGCCTGTCTTGTTTTTCAGATCCTCAAGTTTTGAAGAAGACATCAAACCCCGCCCAACTATCAACATGGCAGAGTTATCATCAAGCCCTTGCCGTGAAATTCATCATGTAAATCTAATCTATGCAAAGAATACATATAATTACTGTATATATGATCTAATATTATATATGTATATATATATAAACATATACAAATTGTATTTATATATCATTCATGTAAAGACAGATAAATACTTATATGTGATATACTATTCTATTATCAGAGAAATATCACATATCATATAGTTAAACAGTTTGTCTAGTCCCGCGACCGCCATGTCTCAAGACAAGCCGCCTGCGGCGCCTGCGGCTCCGAATGCTCTGACTGGTCCTTCGACCTTCGCTGACTTCTTCTCGGTATGGCGCGGAACTCGGGGTTCTCCGTTGAGGGTAAAATGCGATGGTTCCATATGGTTTCATAATCATAATCATGATGGTACCATATTTATTGTATATCATCATTTATCATCATTATAATGGCATATTTTCAAATATATGTTGGTTTCATAATTATGATGGTATATTTTCATAACTATGGTATTATGATAGTATAGTTTCATATCATGTCATATCACCATTTATCATAACTATGGTGTATTTTCATAGATTTTCATATATTTTCATATATTTTCATATAGTTTCATCAACATCTCGTCACTTTTTCGTTGCGTTGCCGGCCCATCTTCGCCCAGGATGGCCTTGTTGGCCGTGGTCGCCCTGATGCAGCCATGGCTTTTCGCGCCGGGATGCTCAGCAATGGCCACGAAGGAAGTGGTTTGTAACTATGGTTAAACTATGGTTAACTATGGTTTAACTAACTATGGTTATATAATGTTATA